AGTAATCTCCAATTGGCATTTCATCCCAAGTTGAATTTCCAGTCTCGTGTCTCCAGAGGTTAGCGGTCATACTCACGTGGCAACGCAGTGGGCCGCTGTAACGACCCAGCGATTGTTCAGCAAGGCACCGCCGCACGAGAGCTTCTTCGACAAGAATCCCGACTTGATGATGGCTGCCTGCACGAACAAACAACGCACGAATGCCTTGGATTATTAATTGGTCGATGCTAGGTGGCAACGTCTCTACCCGACTGCTTTGGCGCCCTTGGCGCTAAGACTCTCGCCTCCGGTCTCGGGGCTATTTTTCTATAATATCGATCGACCGAATGTTCCATTGTGCCCAATGGGCAAATTTATGAGAATATTAATAAGAATGATACTTGCCGCGCGTAGGCTTGATGGCCGCAATTTAATATAGGCAATTACCTAATATTAAAGGACATTGAACATTTAATATCTAAAGATATTTCATGGCTCTTTTACTATAATATATATAATGCCTCTGACACTGCCAGTGCGCAAAATTATATGTCCGTTTATTTTACTTTAAATCGATCGATATAAAGAATGCATGTTGGATTTATATTTATTTCAACATATATGAATCAATAGAGTTGTGGAGATTTTCAAGCCTTTCGCTCAACGTTCATTACATTAACAATTTAAAAATTACAACGTTTAAATGTATTCCTAATTTATATAAAAATAATTTATGTTAATACTACTTTATTAGTGGAGCCGTATTAATTAACGTTCTCATTCTTAATTTATTATTATGCAACTGTAAAAATCTATTTTCACATGTACATTCCCGCATATGCGTATATTCAGTATTAACAATGACTAACTGAGCCTAAATAAATATCATTGTCGAGTCAACTTCGTACAAGAATAATTAAATGAAATTCTTCGTACGAAGACATTAAATTCCATCAAACGAAAGCTATGTTTTCTAAGGAGACTGCGTAAATAAACACGATATTGTAATGATCATAGAAATAAAATAAACCTAATATTGCTGGCAATATCGTATAAAAGATAATATTTATCTGATATTTCTACTGACGACAAATATCATTGGCTATATTTAAAACAAAATAAATAATAAAAGTTTAAGTGTGAAAGATTCATTTGATATTAATGTATCATATTATTTAATCAATAAAATTTCTCTTAAAATAATTTTTCAAAATGTTGCTTCAAAAAATTCCTAATCACGCACATTAAAAGTATCTAAATTCAATGAAACGTTAAATTTAAATTCAAAATATTTTATGCTAAGAGACATGGAAAGTTTTTAAACACTAAATTAAATATACTAAATACTAAATATATATATATATAAAGTTTTTAAAATAATTTAATGGCTTAAATGACCTTTTTAATTCATAGTAATGATTCCTCTCGCTGTAATGAGTATGTCAGCATCATTTGGAAAAAAATAGAAATAAACTATTTTACTAATTTTATATTCAGAATAACGTAGCAAATAGGAAAATAAAGCTGTAAGAATACATTTTTATTTATAATAAAAATAGATTATTGATTTATACGAAATTTTTCATTAAATAAATTTTATTTTTAATTAAATACACCCTTAGATAATTATATAATTATAGAGCAAACAACTCTTACAAAAATAAAGTAAAAAATATGTACTTTTAGAAATTTGTGTAATTTAGCTATTAATTTCAGGTATTATAATAATAAGAGTACAATTACACGTTTTTATATAATTATGAACTATAGATATGAGTAAATTCAAATTCACATAGAATCAAATATTAATAGTACGTGTTCATAAGTAGATGAAGTAAATATTATTGAGCAATTTTAGATTCATTTATCAATTTATATGTTGAAAATTCTATGAGCAAATAATAATTACCAATCAAGCAGAAATATGACCATTTGTATAATGGCTTACAAAAATTATGAAAGATATATCAAAGAATTAATGAAAAATAATATTATAAGTATTAAATTAAAGAAACTTAATCTTATTTGACTCGTTAATATTGTAAGTATTAAATTTAAAAAATTTTTTGTACGATTTTTACCTTGATGATCGATCGATAACAATAAATATTTAATATCAATCCATAACTTTTCTATATTCTAGAAAGCATCCATAAAAATATGTATATATGTGCATAGATAAGAAATTATGTATAACAGTCAATTTATAAAAAAAAAAAAAAAAAAAAAAAAAAAAAAAAAAAAAAAAAAGCATAAAATTCATTATAAACTAATATGAGCAAAATACGTAAATTTACAAATGCAAGAATATCCCACTTTCTTCCAATTCCAATTCCAGTAATTTGTGTTATTATTTGATAAATTTCAAAAGAGATCATGTGTTAATCTATTATCTTAAATCAAAGTAGAAGAGTAAATTATTTTTATGAAAATATGTATTGAGAGCAATAAAAAAGAAATATTGTTAAATTCGCTATTATTTATTTCAATGTTTTAACACTCAATTATTTTAATTATTTTATATGGATTTATCAGAATTTATAGATTTTTTTTTTTTAAAACATAATACGTATATTTCATGTTTAATTAAATAATATCGATATTAATGTCATGCAAATTTCATTCCTATTGATGACAAAATGCAATTTAATCGCAAATTATATCCTAATTACTTTTAATTGTTTTTTTTACACATTAAGAAAAGAAATTTATAAATAAAATGGAAATTTTCTCAATTTTTTTTAATAATATACGAGCCTGTATCGATAAATAATATAGAATAATTACATGTGATGTACGATAAAATTTCATTTTATACTTGATCTATATATATATAAATATATATAAAGATTTTTTTATTACTCATTCGGAATAAAATAATTGTTTAAAAAAAAATAAAATTTACATTTTTTTTTTTTTTTTTTTTTTCGAATCTAATATAAAAATCACTTTTTTCAATTATAAATCTTTAATCTTGAAATTTCTTTTTTCAACTTTTTATAAGTAATAACTTGATTACCTGCCAAGGATGACTACCGAAACTTGAACTGTGGCCACCAACTATTCTATTACTTCTCGTGTATAATTCACCGCAACCTAAAAATTAATAAACGAAAAAAGATAATTAGATGATAAATGCATAATTAAGCATTCAAAATATATAGAGCAAATTTTTGCGTATGAACGCAAGCGATTGTGAAGCAATTAAAGCGTTTATGTGTGCAATCGTCCACTTATTACAGTTTATTTAATTTCAACCGTTTCTTCACATTTCTTTTATCTTTTCTTTTTCTTTTTTTGTTCTTCGGTCAATAAAGTGTAAAAGTTCATTAAAAAAACTGTCTTTAAATTATAGTCAACCATTTTACAAGCGAGCATCTAAATTTGTCTCTTTAGATAGAATTTCACGTGCTATAAATTTATTACACGCTGTACATCAATTATACAATGTTATCTCTTCCTTCGAGTCCAGTGTATGTTAACATTATTTATAAACTTTGTGTCCAGTCAAAACAAATTTGTCTTGGTGCAAACGGAAGTGTGCTTTCAGATGAAGGTCCATTACGTAGATTACTATCACATATATCTATTGTTAATTATGGTGCTTCGTAATTTCCATGGTTTTTTGTTTTTTTTTTTTTTAAGATTTTTTTCTTATTTTTTTTTTTTTTTTTTTTTTTTTTTTTTTTTTTGTTATTTACGGTACTGGAAAAACTGTCGTTTTTTGTCGTTTTTATGTCATAAGGAGGCAATATTCAACAGAAAAATTTTAATTGGCATAATATCATATATATATATATATATAAACAGTGACACACACGCGATCGCGCGCGCGCGCACTGATTTTTATTTTATTTTATTAATTTATTATATTTAATGTATTTTATTTATTTAAAAAAAATTATATTTAGAAATATCTATAAATAGAAATTCATATTTGACTTTAATTTACATGAATGATAAATGTTTTTATTCAATAATATCAATATCCTCGATATTTTACTGATTAAAAATCGAATTAACTTTAAAATCATAATAATATCTACTGGAAATGATAATTAATCATTATTACTTAAAAGTAAAATTATATTAATTATTAAAATTTATTGAAATTTGTAGTAGTTATATTACGTATTAATTAGCAATAATTAATTTAAATACTTTGTAAAAACATAAATATCGCCCATAACGAAATAACTGTAAGACATTCGAATCGATATTTACATTTTTATTATTTTTAATATATCGTATTAGTTGTTTTGTGAAAATTTGTTAATTATAAATAAGGAAGAGCTTGATTTGGAGAATTTTAATCTGTAACAAAATTAGCTTGATCAAGCTGCTTGATTAATATGGTAAATGATTTTGCTTGTAGTATGTTTCATTAATTGTTTGAACGATATTTCTTAACAAGAATATATTTGACGGATGAAAAAACAAAAAAAGAAAAAAAACAAAATTCAAAATTCAAAAAAAGAAAGAAAAATAACCAATTGTAGAAAAAATTTTTAAATTTACTAACGTCCATCTTCTTTGACAAAATGGCTTTAATTTTAATTAAATGCACGAGGAATATTGTTCATTCACACGTATACAAATAGCATATATTTAAAATAAGATATATTATAAATCATAATTTGGAGTCGAATAAATTTTTCATTACTATTTCGCAAATCACATATGTATTGATAATTTTCAAATTTAGTTTACATTGCTGCTGAACTTTGAACCAAATAGGACGAATATCATTTTAACTTTAATGATCGAAAAGAGCATGTGTAGTGCTCGACATATTTCCGACTATAATTTATGCCTTGACTCGGCCTACTCTGTCCGCCTAAATCTTTTACTCGTTTAATGAATGAAGCCGCACGGCCCATTAATTGGAGTGTTGAATGCCCTCGTGTAACTTTAGTCTGTAAGTTTAGTCACAATCAGGAGCCACATATGACATAAAAACTGAACGAGACTAAGGATTAAGTAGCCGAACGACATGTCCAAGTGCAACACGATGAATGACTCCTTCCTCCACTGATTACCACGGTATCTGGTGTTCGTGGGTTGGAGCTGTAGTGGCTCGATGGCGTTCACCTCGCCGTAGTCGTCAACCGGGTAGTCCGAGGGCTGGGGTTTGCTGACCGGGAAGTTGGAAGGTCGCTGCGTCGCCAGCTGATAGTGCGAGCTCGAGGCGTAAGCGGGTCCATGCGGAGGTCGCGCGTCCCCGGTACCGTACACACTGACATCGTCGTCCAGGTAGACGGGACGCTGTTGGCCCAGGCCCAGATTGAAGGCTGCAAGTGCCAGGCTCGGCCCACTCAAAAACAACGTCCACACGACCTCGCTCTCGATTTTTGATCTCTACTACGGAGCTTGGGCTTGTTGCGCGCAGAGCCATTCATGTTTATCGTGGCTCTCCGCTCTTTTGGTTATTTATTTCAATCGTCAGCCAATAGAGAATAAGAAGAGTGCCATATATACCGATTTTCGCTTTTGATAAAATTCACGGGTTATGATTTTTCTCAACATTAGACCAGCCGGGATCCCTAACTCACGTTCATAGCGACAATTATTCTTTATATATTAAAGTAGCGTGAAAGGAGAGAATATTCCACTATTGGGAAAGAACCTCTCGAGTTTTAACAAAGTCCATCGTTTACTATGGCATTCTTCCATTGCGTGTCCATGTAGATTGTAATTAATTGAAAATATGCCCATTTCCAGTCTTAGGTAAAAACCAATAGAATTTACAACGATTCATAATTTATGTACAAAGAAAAATCTTAAGAAGATTATATTATTTGAATGAACAATGTTGCACTAGAAACATAAGCAAAATTCACTTAGCAACGTCAATACCTTATTATTCGTGTGATTAAATTATTGTAATTGTGAAAACTGCCAAAATTTAATCGGATACATGTAATATAAAAAGTCATTTTATACAAAATAAAAAAAGGAAATATAGAAAAGAAGTCATTTTTATTAACAATATGTAAACAAGTTCTTTTTTTCTTTTCTTTTGATTTTTTTTTTTTTTTTTTTTTTTTTTTTTTTTTTTTTTTTTTTTTTTTGTCCTGATTATTTACGGTAAATAAGTATATTGTATTAAGTGACGTTTAAACAATTAGTCAATTAACTTATTAGTCATTAGTGATAATTTGTTAAGACAGCGATTTAAATTAAAATAGCTACTGGAAGAAAATTATTCCACAAGCCACGGGAAAGGATTATTTATAAACATTTAAATTAAAACATGAAAGCATGAATCTCTTATTCGTATATGAAATTTAAATAGGTTAATTTTAATTTAATACAATGACAGTTTAATTCAACAATGGTATATAATATTTGTACTTTCGCTAAATAATTTGATTTCTTTCATCCCCGTAAAACAAATTTAAAACATATTATCAATTTTATGGCTTAATTTTGACAGTTTTATTGAAATTCTAAAAAAATTTCACTATTTCAAATAATAATAATAATAATAGTAATAATAATAACAATAATAATAATGAAGCTAACAACTTGGTAATTTATTATTTGTGATAAATTGATAAATGATTTTAAGATGGCATTTTTAAATTTTCAATTTGAATTCTAACTATTAATTTTACAATATAAAACAGATATTAGCAATAATAATTATAAATAATATTTAGTTTTTATGTAAATAAATTTTGTATTTTTAATTAAACGCAAGCTTTTTATAATAATCTAATAGATTTTTGTATAAGTACTTGAGTGATTATAAATTCAATATAATAATTCATATACTTTTATGCATTGGATAAATATCACAAAATATTCTAAATCAAACATGTATTTATCAAAAAAAAAAAAAAAAAAAAAAAAAAAAAAAAAAAATAGTCACACACGTTTTAGATTTAGCTCATTTGATATCATTTATTTTTGCATGATTTATGGAAATTTAAAATATAATAATAACAGGTATTGCTATTTTTATTTCAAAATTATACTAAATTATTATATTAAAGTAGGATAAAATGTACATTAGAATATTTGAGCATCGGATAAGGCAAGCACAATTTTAGAAATAATTACAACTAATTTTCTTAATAACATTATTTAAATATACGTTTAACTATTATTTATTTATAGTAATAAAATTGAAAAATATTTATTAATTAATGAGAATGCCTAAAATTGTAGTGCTATTAATTCTATAATTTAATAAAAAAATTTGATTAAGTTTTGTACAAATCATGAATATAAATGTAGTTTCTAAATTAAAAAATTTTACTTCTTATTAAATACTTTATATTAACACAATAGTTTGTTGAAAATTTACATAAACTTCTAATATATAGAAATAGATATATTCGCAACTGACAAAACTCTTATAACAATTCTCATAATTTATACAGAACTTGTTTGAAAAGTATACACTCTATACATCTAAATATTTGTTTGAGAAACAAATACAATAAATTATGTATTTGAATTGAAAGTATTGAAAATTTAATGCAATCGAAATATCATAGGAATGAATATTATTAGAATAGGATATTTAATTTAATAGTAAAATTAATATCCTTCAGCGTAAGTTGAATGGGCTTCTCAAAATAAGTTTATTATTATTCCGCGTATCATTACAATTAGACAAATTTTTGACTTATCAATAATTAAAATTATGCTAACGGTATTATATTTCGTAAAACCCTTAAACGATTCGTGATGTTAATTAATCGCATACTTTATAGCCGTCCATTTTCCATTTAGGCACAGTATTTGCAATTCAGACCATTTATCTTGATTTTTAGTGTAATAAAAATCAAATTGTATAATAAAATAACAAATGAATGTACATTCTCGGCCATTTTATTTAATGTTATTTCTTCAATCGGTAACGCTAAAGATGAAGATATTAATTTTACGATGCGATAAACACCGAATATGTTTGCATATTCACATAAAGCATGTAAGGTACTCGACGTGTATAGTGCAATTAAACGTAGATCGATGACGAAAATTATATTCACAAGTCTTTATCATAATTTCCTCGATAATTTTACGAGTGAAAAAAAAAATTAATTTCAATACATGTAATACCTTGGATCGTTCTAAATGTCAAATATATACAGACCAATGTAACTTTTATCTCAAAATAGCAATATCGACTAAAATATATTGACGCAAAATGAGCCATCAGACTACCATCTATCAATTCATTATTTAATTAATGCCATTAATTCGCAATTAAGCCTTTATCAATGTAAATACGAATATAATCGTGAAAACGTGATTAGCTCTTCTCCCAAATGCACTAGCTTTACTCACTTAATTACTAAGTACTTATACGAAAAATCGCTAAATTTCGCATATTACCGCAAATACGATAAAAACGTCAACTCACTGGCATTCTGCAGGACGCCAACACTTGGCTTTTGAATCTTGTCCGGTATATCGTCGTCGTCGACGCAACAACTCCAAATCATACCACCGGAGCAAAGGTCAACGGGTCGTCCGCCTCCCAATACGCAGCTGATGCTCAGTCCACATTCGAATTTCGCGCCCTTGTACTTGCAGGTCTGCGGAATCACTGCAATTAATAAGGATATTAATCATCGATGAATGAGGAACAATTATAAGGGAATGTGCCAAGAATCGTCAACATTCGTCGCGCACACAACACGACGAGTCGTAGCTCGATACAATCGTGTGTAGATATTATAATTATGTGTAGGTAATGATTTCTATGAGATATGAAATTGATATCGTGATAAGACATTTTATTATCGATTATTTTATATTTTATATTATAGATTTTATATTATCAAGGATAGAGGAGCATTTAATGATAATAGACTTTATAAGTACATAAGCTTAACGTTCGTTGTAATATTGCCTCGTGTTGCTCATACATTGTATCGATATTAGCTTTACAGCATTGAGCTTTTAAAAACATATTCGATAAAAAGAAAAATGAAAGTAAACGTTATGTTTGCATAAATTTTTAAGTCCTAGAAATAGAATTTCCGCTGATACGTTAAAAAGTTGGATTTAAAGAGTTTAGTAGCGTCGGAAAATGTATATAACAAATGATAATACCGCTTCCTCGTATTTAATATTGAATTTCCTATCTCAATGTAAAATCGTATGATGGCTCTTTTACGATATCAGATCATTTATTATCTATTCTAGAGTAAAGAAAGTGAAGATAAAATGAAAAAAAAGACAGAATTAGTATAAAATTTTATAAATCTATTAATTGGCAAGTGAACGTCAATTGAGAAGACATTTATTGTTGAAGAAAGAGATAGAGTAGTACTACATAAAATTTTTATTATAAGTATTTATAAATGATTTTTTAATGCCAAAATTATCGAAATATATCTACTGTGAAATATAATCACGTTTCGTTAAATCATAATAAAATTCGTAACATTTTTAATTGTGCATTGGCGCGTAGCATATAAAATACGAATATTTCAATTAGAAATTTCAAGTAGAAACATATTAATAATAATGGATGGACTAATCGATGACATCGATATGAATAGAACGAATAGTTACAGGCGAAGCATTGTAGTGTTAACGCGCGCGAGCTATTGTATTTGAGATTTTTTCTTTTTCACCTCTAAAAATTTTACTACAACAGTTCGATTGGGAGAAGGTGGCGGAGAGGGAGGGAGCATGAAAAGCCGATTTTTCCGATAGCCTAGGAAAATCTTCTCAAGGTATTTTCAGGACTCGAGGAGCACCGAGGCGCGAAACAAATGTACACACACGCACGCGCACACGCACACACGCACACGCGCACGCGCGCACACACACAAACAAACAAAACGGTCTACGTGTCTGCTCTGTTTCGCCAAGTAAACGAATGTCCAGACGGCCGCAACGCACTCGTACAGTCACTTTCCTTCCGAACGGGACGACTCCCTAGCAAGTGAAATTTAGGACTCGGATCACGAACGAGCGTGAAAGTTCTTCTTCCTCTCTTTATCCACTCCCCTCTACCACGCGCACCCAACGCCATTATCAATGTCTTCCTCCTTCATTGTAATTTTAGTGGCGCGGTGCATAGGCGGATCGACCGAAATGCCACTCACTGACTCATTTCTCATTTCGGATTAAAATGAAAATTTCATAGCCGGCATGACATTGGCTTAAGGACAATGCCGAGGCAGATTGCTAATGACTATTATTAAAGCTCCCGTCGATTGTAAATCCGATTCTCATTCTTTTATTCTTCCCCCCCCCCCTCCTCCACTCCTTCTTCTTCTTCTTCTTCTTCTTCTTCCTTTTCTTCTTCTTCTTCCTTTTCTTCTTCTTCCTTTTCTTCTGTTTCTTTTTTTCTTTATGTTTTACAGTGTCAGGTTACCGCAGATCCATCTTAAGCGAATGCGACTGTCTCATTGGTATACTTTCAGGAATAGTGTGTTAATTTTAACGCTTTTCTCTTGCTCTACTTTAGCATCACTAAATTTTCAGGTAATTTGCTGTGAAATTCTACTTCGCGTTGACAATTAAATTTAAACAAAAGTATCCGAAGCATCATCTTGCTGCCTTGGTTATTTTGTCTTTCTTTTTTTTTTCATTTCTTTTTTTTTTTTTTTTTTTTTTTTTTTTTTTTTTTTTTTGTTTTTTTTTTGTTTTGTTTTTGTTTTGTTTATATTTTCCACGTGAAATCACGAAACTTATTTAATTGGTTGAATCGGAGATAAAAATGCGCTTATTACATACCCTTATTACATTCCTTCACTAAATATGAACTATTGGACAATTTTAATTTAACGATACTTTATCATCTCGCTTCCCGTAAATCATCCCATTCTTACCATCACAATTAAAATCTGCCCTTAAGCGCTGTATCTCGTAGTTGCCGACTACAGCTACACTAACGCGAAATACATCTAACGGTATTATATCATAAGCAACTGATTTACACAAATATTTCGCAAACGAAATCGCACATCGAGATCACGTCTGTTGGACGGGTTGTCCAATGGTTTTCGAATGGCTAAGAGAATGGCTTTCGAATAAAAGTAAATTTCTTTGCTGAACGTTTATGGCCCCCGCGACTCGAAATCGTAACCGGTAGAGCCATTGATCCACTCAATGGCCATGATAAAACGATGGAGGACTTGCGAGTCCCCCGATTAATATCGAACACCTGACTCGTCTATTCAAAATCCGTTGACCATCGACTCGACTCGAGTAAACGAGCCGAGCGGTAAAGGCGCGTCGCCCGAGCATGGATGGCGCACATGGGCCTTTAGGAAATCGTAATCAAGCAAGACGAGACGACGGCAATCGGGCTGGAAGAAAACGAAACGTACTTCGTCCGAGCATCTCCATGATCCCGTTATGGAGATGCTCTTGCGAGGAGTGATGGCCTCGGTGATCGTTGAGAGCGACGCTGAGGTTTTGCCTCTTGCCGAGGGCCTCCACCAGCATCAGGCCCTGCTCGTGGCTGCTGAATCTCCGTGCCCGTGCCATCCTCTCGCGGCTGGCTCCCTCGAGCCGTGCCAGCTTCCCCAGGAAGCCCGCCACCCGCGAGCCCTCCTCCCCGTCGCTGTGGTCGCGTGCCCCAACGACGAGGAGGACGCTCGCGAGCATCCCGAGGACGAGGCAGCGCATGGTAATGAGGAGGCACATTGACGTACACCCGCACACTCCTCGCTCATCTCAGCGAGACCCTCATTAGACCTGGACCCTCTCGCGCGGCTATTGACTTCCTTCCTCCTCGGCAAGGCCTGCGGCTGACTCCGCGGGTTTGGGTGTGAGCGCGACCGCGCGATGCCTCGCCTGACGAGAGACTACGGAATTGCCGTCGCCTCTCCTAACGGCCGCTTCATCGTTCGACCGGCTGCCGCTTTCACCTGGAGAGCTCCGCTTCGGTCACTTGCTTTCTCGCTGTGCTGCCATCGCACGTCCTATCCTCTTCCACATTTTCCTCCTCTATCCTCCTCATCATCCGCGACGTCCACCTCCTCTACTTCCTCCACTTCTTCATTTTCATCTTCCTCATCATCCTCACCGTCGCTCGTCCTCCAACTCTTTCATCTTACTCTACTACGAGGAGCCTTCTCCTACGCCATCCTTCAAGCGAGTGTGTCAGCAATTACGCTCATTTCTCTCATTCTCGCGTTCCGTTATGGCGCTACACCGTGCCTAGTCACGTGCGTCACGCCCTCGACTTTTTCACCTTTTTCTACTTCTTGTAAACGATTCACCTCAACACGGCCACCTCACTTGCAAATTACTGTTAAGCGTATAAATGATTAGCATTGTTATCTCAAATTCATAAAATAGTTCACGAAACCCGAGTAATTTCACGTTCATTCCACTTTATTATCGTAATAGTCTTGAGAATACTAGATTTGTATGCTGGAAAAATCTTACTCTAACGTTTACTTCTTATTATGCAAGAGAAAAAAAATTCGCATTCGTACCTTATCTACTTCATCTCTAAGAGATTCGAGTATTTCAGTTTTATTAAGCGAATTAATATTCCAATAAATAAAAATTATGCTCATTAATTTTCTTATAATTATACGCCAATATCAATAAATACGCAGTAAGAAGTACTTGTTGTAGCAATTATAACTTGTCACAATTATAATAATAATAATAATAATAATCATAGCTAATTTTTGTTAATGGTTAGAGTCGATTTGACTTTGACAAATAATCCGTCCTCTATGAGCAATCTCAAATAGCTAAGAGTTACGCATACTAATTGCATCGATCGATAATAATTACGGAAGACTTAATTTATTTCTTTTAAATTTAATATTTCTAAAAAGATTTAGAATAACTAGCATTGATTTATTATATCGAATAAATCATAAAGTTAATTCATTATTCAAAATTTAATTTACAATGCGGTAACTGTGAATGTAAATTTAAAAAAGAATTTACAATGACGCGTAAGATGATAGCTAAATGAATGTTAATAGAAAAAGTAGAGACGAAAGGTTATTATTTTAACTATATTACGTTCAACGTGTGTGAGATGAGAAAATCATCGTTTGACTATTGATTCATTCATCATTATTCTTGGATAAAATTCATTTTACCATGATTCGTAATGGCAATATAATCAATATTATCATAAGTATAATATATAATATTTGTTTGGAAAATTTTAACTCAATATTAATAATATTGATTTTAAACGATTGTTAAAATAACGTTTAGATAAAGGATTACGAATAGTTGATAAAATTGAATTATTTAAACGATTTCTTAATAATTAAATGTTAATAATAGCATTGGTTTTTACAATATATTTTGATTTTATTTCGTATTCTCGTAAATCAGCCGAATCTCCTTCTCTACAAATCAATCGTAAAAGTTCCGAGCTTCCTTGCTTTTAATAAAACGTATATTTATGAATTTATATTTAAAACTTTATATGCATGAATTATATTTGATACTCAAAAACGATAAGAAAATTGAAGTTTGTTATGTAAATATCGGTGATATGTTTATTTTCTTTGGTAGGTGTTAAACAACAGATAACAAAGAATCATCGAAGCATTACAGACTGCAAAAACGGAAATCTGCCAAATACTATAACAACGAATAGAAAATGTTAGAAAAAAATACAAGCAACAGATCGAAGAACAGTAGCCGCCTAATAGGGATTTAAGAGATCGAAACTCCTTATCCGATCTCAAACAGTGCAGCTCGACTTTTTTCGTTAACTGACCTCGTCACAGGCTCTAAGCATCGTTTCAACACCTGTCATGTATGCGGGGATTTTGGGATTACAATGAAGACAGTGTAGCCGTATAGATTAGAGTGGCTACAATGACGGCAATAACAACAACAATATCGACGGCAACGACGACGACGACGACGACGACGACGACGATGCGTACATAATCGACTCATTGTCTTGCTTTGCGTCGCTGTCATGTCAAGTCGACGATCCCGTGAAATCGCCTTTTTTCGGGAAACGCGCACTTTAATTGCCCTTCCTTTGTTCTTTCCTTCTTTTCCATGAGTGTCCATCTTTTGTTTTCATGCGCTCTTTTCACTTAGTGCGTTCGCCTTTTTCCTGCATCTTATCGTATTAATCGCGTCGTTCCTCTATGCGCCAAATATCTAATTAGGCATTGCCTTGAAATCAATGTAAGAAATGATCTACATTTTCCATTGTAAATTATAGGTATTAAATCATTGACGATTGCAACGTATTCCTAAATTTCTTCGTTTTGTAAGGAGAAAAATATGACATCCCGATGAACTACATCCTTTTCTTCAATTATTCATAGTACCTACTTTCATTGTATTTTTATGACTAAATTCGACAACGAGCTCACGAAATACTGTTATTAAAATAATTATTATCATTGTTTTAATTTATTTTGTAATACCTGTGCATATCATAATAATTATATCCATACGTAATGTAATTTTCATGCATATACAAGTAGTAAGTAGATTCTAAAGAACCCTATTGTTAAATAATTTTCCAAGTTCCGTAATTTTGACAATCGCCCGATTAAAATTTTGAGAGTAAGATATTAAGTAAAATTTAAAAAATCAAATTTTATTTTATTTAGAAGTTTTATTTAATATTTTTTTTTTTTTTTTTTTTTTTTTTTAATTAATTATTAATAATTATAAATCGCCACTAATAAGAAATTTAAATGAAAACAGCAAATGATAAGTAGTTTTCGAACATTTGTTTCTTAAACACATTTAAACTAATACCCCACATATTAACCTAGAAAGCTTATAATAAAATTAAAAATATAAATTTATGCAAACAAAAATAAAATTGAAAATTTGTAAATCTCCAAATTTATTTAAAATTGCATTATATTAATAGAAAATCTAAACACCGATAAAGAACGTAGAATATGAATATTAGAAATATAAAGTTATTTTTAAAATAATTTAACATACATATTATTAACTTTCACTAAATTCTATTAGAAACTTTTACAAATATAAGAAGTTCGTTATTTTAGTAAACATATTCAAATAATAATTTCTTAACTCATTATGTTATTACTTTTCTAGAAATAATATAAATAAAAATTAAGCATAACAATACACAATTATTAACAAATACCTAATATTTCGAAAATAGAGTAAAAAAGGTAAAATAATATCTTTATCTAATATTAAATGAAATAATTACTACTAAACTTGTAAAATGTTGTTGCATCATAATTCAACTTATTTGTTATAAATTTTCCATGACAAATGAATGCTTTTCCACATATTATTCCATTATATTATTACAATTGAAAATATGTATTTTAAATAGCAGTAAATTTAGCCATTATTTAAATAATATAATGCAGTATATTAAAATAATTGGAAATAATTGAAATAAATACGATTATAGACATTCATTAATTAAAATACAAAAATTCTTCGCGGCATATCCAAGTGTCATCAAACATTTAGTATCTATAAATTGTGAATGTCATTTTCTATTTCTCAATCATAAATTTGTAAATAAATTCTGTATTAAAAAAAAATATATATGAGTTTGATTTTTTTGAATTAACACAAAAATCTATCCTTTGAAAATTAGGTCATGAGGTGGAGATCATTTATTTTATTCTGCAGATAATAACATCACAAATCAAAGAAAATGTCATTTAAATTTTTAATTATATATTTAATTATGACTACGTTTATTTTTAATTTAATAAAATTATTTTTAATATAAAATAAAATTAAACTTTATATTTCAAATATATTTAAGAATTCAAATCGTTTTTACAACTTATAAATAATCATTTAATAATTACGTTTAGTTTTGAAATTATTTATCATAGATTTCTGAGTTGTAAAAAACAAAAATAAATCCACGCGTAATAAAATTAAAAATAAGCATTTTCGTGTTGGTGAGAAATTCAACAAGCCCGATTGACAGAATCAAAATAATATTAGATTAATAAACATATAATGCATAAAAGTACAGTTATATAATAAACGAGTTATCCTAAAAGAAATTAATTTGAGTAGTTGATTAACTTAAATGATAAACTCGAATGGAAATTGTATTAATGACAATAAAGATCATTTTTCTAACTGCCAGCCAGAAACTTGTCGAAAAACGTATCTAACTATTAAATCTATTCTCGTTATTTATAAAAAGTATTAATAATTCTCAAGCTGTTCAAAAAAAGAAGAAAATGAAAAATGCAAATTGATTAAGAAGTAAAAAAAAAACTAATATTTCATTCCGTTCTAAAAATCAAATATAAATCATGGACTCTTAACAATAAATATACATGAGCAAAATTAAACTAACAGAACGACAAGGATAAATAAAAAATCAATAAAGTAAAACATGAAGCAAATAAAATTCGATTGGAATGAACTCATCATACTAATTGATCTAATTTAAGAAAAGCTTAATGATAAAGAGAGCAAGCACTATGGAGACAAAATCCATTTGGTTTATAAAAGAGGATGAACTTCTTATTGAATAAAAACGAGCAATAACTATTATTAAGTGGATTAAAATAATAGAAAATAGTTATTTATAAAGTTTTAAAAAGTAGTTCTTAAAAGTAACTTTAAGCTAAAGGCCTGAAAATTTGCGGCATAAGGATAATTAATGGATAATATCAATATTGTTAAGAATTACAAATAAATATTTTAAATATGACTAAGAGTTTTCAACTAGTGCTAGTATTATGATAAAATTATGTTTTCCCGTGAAAAGCTCTTATTAAAACTTCAAATGGAAATTCAAAAGTTACTACTTCGTTTAAAACGTTTACATATTAAACGAAGTTTTTAGAAACACTAATGAAGCAAAAATATTTCTTATTAATAAAAGAAACTGTTTAATATACCATTACTAACCATAACATTACTAACCATAACATACATAAAACTAAATAAGAATATTTTTTACACAAATACATATTAATATATATATATATATATACGATTTTAACTAAATACTTTGATAATTCACATTGTGAGAAGAATTCTGATAAAATCAATA